TGAATTGAGAAAAGATAAAGAAGAAGATGAATTGTAGATGGAAGGATCTAAACCTGCTCTGAAACCATGATAAAATCAAGGAGGGGAAGGCTGTAATTAACGACAGAAATAAAGGAAGGAAATGACAGAAGAAAACAGGAGATAAACCTGCTGAAATTACAGCAGTGAAGAAGATGAAAATATATTCAACTTGCTTGAGAATTACAATGCAAACTAATCTATTTATAGAGAAAATAGCTAACAAATTATGTAACAAACTAACAAGATAACTAACATAAGAAGGAACTAGAATATGCTAGAAGAATGAGCTGAATTCTGGTGAACTGGTTTGCTGCTGTTGAACGTGTGCTTCTGGTTTTGCTGAGCTGGGCTGTTGATCTGGTGTTGGGCTGATGGTGTTGTTGTTGGGTTGATTTGGGCTGGAGAATATTCCAACACAAGTCCAAATGCATTGCCTACTAAATTAATTTATTAATTTAATCATAATATGTCTAATAAAAAAATAATTAAAAAAAGTTCAAAAGAAATAATTGAATTCTGGGGAAAGTGGGAACAACGATAGTCACTGGTTTCTGCAATTGCAAAAGACCTACTAAAGCCTCCGATTAGCACTGTATCTTCAGAGTTTTAGCACATGTAAGAGGATTTTGTCCGAGGTCGGGAGCAGACTAAAAGAAGATATTTTGGAAGTATTAATGTGCGTAAAGGATTGGCAATACGCTCATTTCTGACTGCAAGATAAATATGCCAAAATTGTATGCCGTCAGGTAAGTGATATTTAATTTAACCATATTAATCAAAATTTGTTATTTTATAATATTGTTTTTAATTTTTTAACTCTGCCTACTTGAAATTTAATTGGCAATACGCTCATTTCTACTAGACGGACATGTGGGGTGGTCATCCAGTACAATGGGGCGAGCAAGGGGTAGCAACCACCTTTTTCTAGTTTCGATTGCTTGCTGCTTGACTTCAAACGCTCATAATATTTTTACAACTCCAAATTGCAATCCATTATTTACGTTGAACTCCAAATCTTATGATCTTTCCAATGGTACATTATTTTCCCTGTGAAAGTATTTGTACAGAACTTTATACAAAAAATTTCTCACATGCTCCGCACGTTAGTTCCTCATTTTGCGTATTTTGGTCGTTTCATGTCTTAACTTCCTTTCTTTTTCATCAATCATCTATTAATTTGGGAATTGAACTATAGAAAATATAAATGAATAATATGAGTATAACTAGTCGATTGATTCCTCAAGTGTATGAATCGTGACAAGTATTAAAGTGGAAGCAGTAAATGGATTTAGTTTGAGTCGGAATGACGTTCAACATAGACTAAATTTGCTCTCAATTTTTATTCTACTCTAGCTTCAATATAAATTAATATAGTAAGTAGTTAACAAATCAAAGTGTTTATTTTATAACTAATTTATTCTAAGCTAATCTAAATTAATCTAACTAATCTAATTTGTGGAAAACTTTTGGGATTAAGTGGTTAGGAATTTCAATTCCACTTACGTTATTTAACATTCATTCAATCAAAATAATTCAACCCCTTTTTTATATGTATTAATAATCAAATTAGCCAATTTTAATTAGTAATTTCTCTCGAGCAAAACTAACTCTATTCAAATGCTCAAATTTGTTATATCTCTATATAAATTCATACACATGTAAAAGCATTAAATTATAGGAATTCAATCATGATTGCATAAAATATAATTAATTCTTGATCTATTATAAAACTTATGTCACTTATTACACGACCTAGACATATAAATCTCACTTCGATCTTAATATTGTCCTTAAATCAAACAATTCGTGATCAATATAATTAAAATACAATAAGTGATCAACACATAATCAAGTTGTAAAAAAAAATTTTAATTAAATAAATATTAAATTTGAGCTACATCATTAATCATAACGATTAATTATTTCATCAATCATGTAATTGGAATTAAATAATAAAAGAATTAAAAACATCATCATGTTTATTATAATAAAGGAAAAAAAAAAATTCAAACAATTGTTGTTCTTCAACATCCAATTCTCAACAATGGATTCTCAAACTCTTCTTAGATGATTGTAAATATTCCAATCAATTGTGTTATTCAACCTTCAAATCCCAAATTACGATACGAATCTTGAGAAATTTTTATATAAGAATGTTTAATTTAGCTTTAAAATTGTATCTCTAGTCTGTCCCTCTATTTTTCATTGATAATAATATTTATAGACCTTAATTTAGGTCCAAACTGTGCCCCA